TCAGTCATGTCCGACTCTGTGCCACCCCATAGACGGCAGCCCACCAGGCTCCCCCATCCCTGGGATTCTCCAGGCAAGAACACTGGAGTGGGTTGCCATTGCCTTCTCCAATGCATGAAAGTGAAAAGTGAAAGTGAAGTCGCTCAGTCGTATCCGACTCAGCAACCCCATGGACTGCACCCTACCAGGCTCCTCCATCCATGGAATTTTCCAGGCAAGAGTACTGGAGTGGGGTGCTATTGCCTTCTCCGTTGTAAATCTGAAGCCACAAATTAAGAACTCTAACCATCTGACCTAACCTGGTGTGACAGACCTAAAAGGCAGGAGAGTCTGGGGAGCTCTCAGATGGGTAATGAAGCCAATGGACAAGAAAGGCAGATGAAGACAGAAAGTCTGTTTCTAGAACAGACCAGTGGATGGGGGAATGTCTGCTGAAGAATCAGAATAGAATAACTTTGTACACGCTCATGAAAGCAATTTTCTTGGCATATTTCCCAGAGCAGAACCCAATTAGGGCTGGATTCTAACCAAGAGAGATGCACTTTATCTGAATCAGAGACTGTCCCCGATTCACTGGTTTCCTGACCCAGCACTAATTCACTTTCAAGGTTCCTTCAGTTGTCACATCTATGATGCTGCAGTTCTGTTCGACACTCAGCAGGTATGCACTAAGCGTGTTAGCGAACTGGAAATTGTTGAAGGGGTGACTGTGTGAGCACTGGTCTAAGCCAGACAGAATTTACTGTGGTAACTATGGCATATATATAGGCTTCCCTGGCGGCTCAGATGGTAAAGAATCTGCCTGCAAGCAGGAGACCTGGGTTCAGTCCCTGGGTAGGGAATATCCCCTGGAGAAGGGAATAGTTACTCACTCCAGTATTCTTGCCTGGAGAATCCCATGGACAGAGGAACCTGGCAGGCTAGAGTCCATGGGGTCACAAAGAGTCAGATACAACCGAGTGACTAATATTTTCACTTTTCCATATACATATATATGTATATATACATATATATTTAACTGGAATTTTAAATATTTATATAAATATGTATACATCTATATATATTAAATATTTATATATATACATTTATATATTTAAGACACTTGCTCCTTGGAAGAAAA